CATTCCATTACACCCGCGTACAACATTTGCGACCAGACGATTACCGAGCAAGAAGAACATTCTACGAATATTTTCTGAGAAGAACAGATCAAGATCCCACATTCCCTTCTCGTGTGATATTCAGCGATGAATCGCTATTCACACGAGAAGGTATTTTCAATTCGCACAACATGCATTTGTGGAGCGACGAAAATCCCACAGCAACGCGATTCAGGAACTTTCAAAATCGTTAGAAGAGAAATCTGTGGGCTGGAATTATGAGAACTGAAATATTAGGATCAGTTGTTCTTCCGGATATCTTAACTGGCAAAATATACGTGGAATTTTTAAGAGAAAATCTTTCAGACTTCTTAAAAGAAGTGCCGTTATTAGACCAAAACAAAATTGTCTTTCAACAAACGGTACTGGACTACACAACGCCAGAATTGTAACAAATTACTTCAATGAGTAGTTTCCCGGACGCTGGATGGGACGGTATGACCCATCATTGGTCCGCATGATCCTCAGATCTCAATCCTCTCTACTTTTTTTAATCGGGCTATTGAAAGGAAGAAATTTACAAAACGCTTCCCAAAGATATCAATAATTTAGATACGAGATTGCGACATGCTATTGTTATGCCCGAATTGTGTCATCGCCCGATATACATCGGAGTTCGCCGTCCTTGAGGGAAGACGAGCGCGTTGCCTGGCAACAAGCGGTCGTTGTTTCAATAGATTTGAAGAGAAGCGCTCGAACGTGTCTTTCCATCTGCAAGCATATACCTCGTTCTTTGTGTAATACGGAGTATTCCTGTGTTTTCTTATTCAATAAACGTTTCTTGTTCCTATCGTCATATTCGTGTACTTTATTTCGGCGGATCGGGAGTGCGCGTTTGCGACACGAACGGATTCCGCGAGGCGGTCGTGCGGACGGACGGACACAACACTATTTATGTCATCGAAGAAGAGGTAATGGAAAACGTCTAAGGAAACTTATTGAAATGCATGAGAGCTTGCGTCAGGATGGATGCTCATTTTGAGCACCTGCTGTAAAGTGTTTAACCTGCTCTTTTCAGAGTGATCAGAAATAATACGTTCTTTTCAGAGCGACCAATACATTTTTACGTGGAACATTTTGTATTTGCAGAAATGTAAGAAAAAGCCAAGAGAGGGATTAAACTCCGCTTAATTAACGTTCTCTCATAATATGAAAAAAAAACAGGTATTTTACAATATATTTTTACATGTGAAACGTGTTGCGAAATATGTTGTAAAATACCCACCTTTTTCCTAAAAAATTATGTTTTTACAATTACTTGCAACAATCGCGCGTTGTCAATGTAGAGGTTTCAGCCAATTACAGGATATGAAAGTGTTTCGCGCCAGAGTCAACTGGGTCATACGTTCGGCAGCCATTTATCGGATGCGTTCGCTTAGGCCGGAATCAGACTATGAATTGAAGATTGAGATTAAAGATTGAAAAATTCAAATTTGACCAATAGAAACGAAAGGAGCTAAAATTTCTTTGTCCTTATTGGTCAAATTTCAATCTTCAATTTTCAACTTCAATCTTCAATGCGTAGTCTGATTCCGGCCTTACACGATGTAAGCATCATTTCATCCTTATTGTTTATCAAATGTGAAACAAGTGGTCTGTTCTTTATTCCTGCACTGAACATACGTTTATTTCATTTCAACTCAGGCCCAGTTCCACAACTCACGGTTAACTCTTAACCGAGGTTCAACTTGTTTTTTATTTCTTTTCAATTCTAAAATTGGAAAGAGACAATGAATAAGTTGAGCTTCGGTTAAGAATTAACCGTGAGTTGTGGAACTGGGCCTTATTGCACCGTGTGTGCACCAGTTCAGACAGTGCAGAAATAAAGAACAGACCTAAGAAAGATAAACGATTCTTACAGCGCAGCGTCACAGTATAACCCATATATGTAATACTACTATATTGCTAACGCAGCCTCTTTTTGAGAGTGGGGGGTGTGATAGTGAGATAGAAAATCGACTTCTCTCTTCCACAATTCGTGTACTTTGAATGCGCATGCGTGCGAACGTATGCATGCGCACTCATGGCACGTATATTGTAGAGGTTAGATATTATAAAGTATAATTAAAAAAGATACCCCGAGTCTAAAATATATAATTATTAAAGTCACATTTGATTTCTTAGTAATTTCTCTTTAACATTCACATAAAAAATAAGTGTTAAATGTGAGTTCAAATTGTTAATTATTGGTACATATATTAATTATTAATAAATACAATTACAATTTATTTCAAAAATATAGAAATAGTAATGTTGAAAAAAAATATTTATTGTACTGTTTTTATTTGAATGTTAAATCTTTTGTATATATAAAATTAATTTTATACCGTTGTAATTTTATTTTATTATATATATATTTATTGTGTATGTATATCACACTTGTACGTAGAATTATATATTTAAAATATTAGTTAATAAAAATATTGTAACTTTTAAATTAAAGATCTTAATAAAAATAAATATTAAACATATAAAATGTTTGCAGTTAAATATAATAATATATTAAAATATGAATGGAAATAAATATAAGCGTGTTTATAATTTTTGAACATAGTTTTATTATTTTACAAAACATACATTATTTTACAAAACATATTTTACAAAACATACATATTATATATACTAAAACTATGAAATTTTACACAATCTTAATAATAATTAATGCTATTGATGATGGAATAAAATAAGTTTTGTGTATTTTTGACGAATATAATCGTCTTTGCTAGACATATTTTTGGCTTCATAAAACAATCTTACATCAATATATAATGATATAATATGTTTACACAATTGTATTCTATGATTATCGAATATTTCCTGAGTTAATATGTGATCTTGCATGGTACTGTTAGAAAATGGAGACGATAATTTACTAAGTACGGTATTTGTTAAAAATTGTTTAATATATATTTTTTTTAATTCATTCATGTACTGCCGAATTGTTGATTCTGATATTTTACAAATAATGCAAATATCATCAGATGGTTTTAAATATGGCCCTCTATTTTTAAGTTCTGATAATAAAGGCATTTTTTCACCTACTAACTGGTTTTTACATATTTCACAATTTATAATGTTGTACAGTCTATTACAAATATATCCTGCTATATATTGAACTATATTGTCTACATATGGTGTTAGCTGCCACATTGTTTTCACATAGTCATGATCAAAAGTTAATATTTCTTTATCGAAGTTTTCCATGTCTTCATTTACTATGGGACATTTAATTTTTTTTGGATTCGATGTTGCATGCAAAATTTCGAAACTATCAGAAAGACAATTAACTGGTATCAAACTGTTTTATTTCATGCCTGATTAATAGACATTTGTATGCACTTTTTACTTATAGAGCATTAGGATTGTTATTAAATCCTCCATGACTCCTTATAGCACTAAAATATGTTTCAAGAAAATCTTAAGATAATTTATATGTTAACAAATATGTCATCCCGAAAGTCTTTAAACGAAAAAATAAAGGAAATATATTTCTTAAACATATAATTAGTCCAAGGAAACCAATTTTTCTACCAGATTGTAATATGGGAATGCCATTCGCGTCCTCTAATGTATTAATATAATATATTCTTCAAAGTATTTAGCATGTGTTTGTAGTTGTGCATAATTTTCAGAAGTTAGTGGTGTTTTAAACTTATGACGAGAAAATTTATTGTTACAATTTAAAATATCACCCATGTTATTGAAATTTAGACAAAACCCAGCAGTTGGTTTGCAATTAGCAAATTGACTATTTATTGTAGAGTCTGGTAACTTTAATAAAAACATTAATGAATTGTATACACTTTCACTTAAAGTTTGTATTGCTAACTTAACATTCATTCTATTATTTTTATAATAAATATGTTTATTAGTGAGTTTATTTGCAGCTTTCAAGCCTTCTTTTTGTTGTAATTTGTGAAGATTAATTATATGAACCCATTCAATTCTTTCCACTTGATGTTCTCAAAATTTGTTTGTCGCCTAAAGTACTTCTCACTAATTTTATCATGTGACAGAAATCATAAAACACGTAACATATGTCTAATGTAACAGGATTTATAAAGAATGGCTTGAAATTTTCTCCATATTGCAAATTTGCACCCAAAGCAGTACACATACTAATGTTACTTGAAACACCATCAAAAGTTATGGAAAAAACTTTACAATTTATTTTATTCAATTGTTCAAATGCAAGTGTTAATAAATTCGCGCGTTCTGAACCATTTAATGATGAACCAATTAATGATCTTATTAAAAAATATCCAATTGGAACTTTCCAATTATCATTTAGAGATACCGCCATAAACACTAATATGTTATTAGCAGCAAGAGCAGAATCGTTATCATCTTCTACAATACCATATTCTATACTACCGTGAAATCTTTTTTTATCATAAATCATCTCTTCCTTTATTGACATTTCATCTATAACTAAATTAATAATAACAGGTTTAGAATTATCATTATTGCGTAATGCAATGGCATTTAATGCTTCTGTTGTGAAACCTGGAGATCCATCAATTACATGATACCAATTTCGTATCGTGGAAGGATTTGGTAACAAGTTATTCCACGAATCTCGTACATACTTATATGCTTTAGGTGAATAAAAGTGCAATGTTAATACAAAGCTACGAATTTCAGGAGAATAAGTACCACCTTTTCTTATTTTTCTTGATATTATCGCCTTCATACTTTCTGGTAATGTATTCTAAATATAAAGAAAATAATTTAAGCAAGTTTATAATGCTTATTTCATTGTTTTTAAGTTGCACCTAGAAAACATTAAACGGTAAATTGATTTATTCTATAACATATAATTACTTTCTTGCCAACCCAATACATAAAGAAAAGTTGCATACAAAATACGTTTTGATTATAGAAGATGGATGCAATGTAAAGAGAAGTCTTGAAATTATTTTTACTTTTTGTGTCAGGAATAATTGGGCAGTATATAATGACTATGAATACAGATTAATGTTGCTAATAAATTGGTTAGTCTAAAATTTATGATAATTTCTTTTGTTATACATTTAAGGACCGATTGTTCCATCTTCAGATAAATTGTGACAATTTATCTAATGACTAAACAAAAGAGTAAAAGAGTAAGAAAATAAGAAAATAAGAGTAAACTTAAAGTTTATCGAAAGATGAAACAACTCAACCTAAGAAAAAATATTCCATATATTATTACCCCATATTATCCATAACATACCATTAAATGATCTCCAACATCTTCAGAAATTAATGTTGATTCTTTCAAATGAGATACTAGTTCTTGCAATGTAACAATTCGCTTTCGAAGTCTTCTGTTTTCATCTTGTAAATCTTTGATTTGTTTGCTTTTCTTTTGATCCATTTGTTTAATGAAACTAATTACTCTTCTCGTTCTTTTTGGTGTACTAACGTCACTAGTATTAATTTCTGAAATATATCTTGGCTTTGCAAACAAACGTTTTCGAGGAGGAGAAATGTTCTCTTTAGAAACTAAAAATATAAAATATTTATCATAAAAATAATACTTATTTTCTTTTATAATCAGTATACGTATTTCTATTTCTACATAATTTATATTTAACTTACATGAATAATCAGTGGAAACTTCGGATATTGGCTGAACTTCATCATCAAAATCCATTTCATTAGGTACAATTGGAGATGTAATATTCACTTTAGATAAATTTGACATACTAGTACTTTCTATTATTGGCACTGAAAGAATAAAATATTTATCACAAAAATGACGTTTATGTTATTTCCTCTTACAATCAATGTCAATCATATTTTTATTTCTACATAATTTATATTTAACTTACATGAATGATAAGTCGAAGCTTCCGATACTGAATGAACAGCGTTAGCACAATCCATTATATTAGAATTGGAGATGTTCACTTCAGATGATTTCGATGTATTAACTGTAGTACTTTTTATTGTTGACACATTTGATAATTCAATTGAGTGATTTGGTATAGCTATAGTGGGTATAGCCCCAGGAGGTAATCTGTTCAATGCAACTAAATTATCAGGTAATTCAAAGTGATGTGAGCAAATATAAATATGGGATACATCTTTTTCATGCAATCCGCAAGCGTCGATCCATTTTTTACGTACTTCTGGTGTTTTCGGAAATCTAAAAAGAATAATTTAATTTTTATTAACTATTGTAATCGGACATGTACTTTCATCATTTGTAATTAAACTTACTTATGTAAAGAAATCTTTTCATCCTCTGTGCTTTTTCTTTTACCTAAATAACAAGATCGCGGCATTATTTCCTTTTTTTAACTAATACTTTTAGATAAGCAAAATAACAAACTTCACTATTGAACACGTCGGACACAATAAACGTAATAAAATATGATAAAATAGGTTGGGAACACGCGCATGCGCATTGCGAAAGTACACGAATTGTGGGAGTGAGAAGCGATCGTCTGCACCGTGATGTTTTCGGTAGCTCTTAATTGCCGTTAGCAATATAGTAGTATTACATATATGGTATAACCATACCTAGAGTGGGTATAAAGAGAGTGAAGCCAATTAACCGGAAGTCGCCATTTTACGACAAATATTTATTACGTAATTCCTTATCCTAACCTTTTCTTTTTCTAACGTCGTCTTCCTCTAACTAATAGTTAATCGTAAAATGGCGGAACCAATCAGGAAGGAGAACCAGGATTGGCTTTACTCTCTTTATACCACTCTAATCATACCCAGTAGCGACACTGAACTTTTTTAGTGGGCTGCAATTTTTATTGCGCATGTGTACATTTGTGCGTTTTGTATACTTAGGAATATGGCGGATGTATTAGGAGCTTAACAGAAATTCAAATTTAAAAGGCTGTCCCGTCATAGCTCTATTGTATACTCTATTGTATACTCCATTAAAGTAAAATATTTATTACAATTAGGAGAAGGGTTTGGTTTACCGGTTAACAAAAATAATTTAGACAGAACTACAGTGAAGTTCATAAAACAGATTGAATGTAATATAAATGGTCGCCCAAATGATATAACTAATTTTGTTAGACATAATTCAACAACTATACTAGAAAAATTTCAGAAAGATTTTCCAATAAATAAACCTAACGATAAATTACTCTATGATTGGCAAATGATCACTAAAGATTTTTTTAAAAACCATCCTAATGTATTAATCATTGAAGCTGACAAGGGGAATGTCACTGTTGCTCTAAATAAAGATAACTATGTCGAAAAAATGGAGGAGATTTTATCAGATAAGGATACTTACGAAATTATTAACAAAGATCCAACTAAGAAAGTTACTAGTGACTTGCGTTCCTTGTTGGTTAGATG